TATGCAAGATCTTGAGGATACAGTTCTCAAAACGTTGAATTTGGAATGTTTGTTTTATTTTCGTTATGTGGATGACATAATAGTGGCCACCTCTATGACCAATATGACTCAGATTGTGAATAATTTTAACAACTATCATGAAAGACTTAAATTCACGGTCGAACAAGAGGTTAACCATAGCTTGAATTTCTTAGATTTATCACTTAAAATTATTAATAACAAAATATATATAGACTGGTATCAAAAAGAAACCTTCTCAGGAAGGACGTTATCTTTTTATTCAAACCACCCATTATGCCACAAAATTGGAATAATATATAACCTTGTAGACAGATGTCTATTGCTATCACATCCACTATTTTTTAATAAAAATTTGGAGTTAATTATTAATATACTCAGAAGCAATGGTTACCCTCTTGATCTAATTTTTAACAAAATTAATCATCGGATAGAACACATCATATCTAAGGGGAGCATTATAGAGAGACAGGCCAACATAGAAAGAACAAAAAGTATAAGAAATGACTCGGTCAATAAAAAATTCTTTGTCATTCCGTATATAGATGGGATCTCAGAAATGATTGTTTCCTCGGTAAAAAATAAAAATTGTATGGTAGGGTATAGATGTCTCAACAAACTGGATAATATTATTAAAGCGCAGAAAGATAAAACTAAACATCCATGCAATTCGAATGTGGTTTATAAGATCAGTTGCAATAATTGTAATGCATCTTATGTAGGCCAAACAAAGAGGCAATTGCAGACGCGAATAAAAGAACATAAAAATAATATTAGGTTGGACTCAACGAAACATTCAGTAATTTCTGAACACATAATAAATGAACATCATACTTTTAATTGGGACAATGTTAAGATCATGGACAACGAAAATAATTATTATAAAAGACTCATTTCTGAGATGCTACATATCAAGGAACAAAAAAATGGACTAAATTTAAACAAAGATACTGAGTTACTTAGCGAGTCGTATTTTGATATTTTGGATATATTAGCGAACAAGAAATAATAATAGGACAAATAGGACATTAACGAGTAAAACATAGATATTAGATCATATATAAACACGCACGCTCTCCGATCAAGTAGAGTTTGAAATGAGCTGTCTTTCTGTATTGTTGGTTTGTTATGTGTCATCCTTAATAACTGTTAATAAGTAGCAAAATTGTCAAGAAGAACGATGATAGGTAAGCATACTACCAATTGTAGGGGATACATATTATAATTTGGACATACGTTGATCGGTAATTTTTTATTAATCGCAGCGCCTACGGAACGGGTTAATTTCTCGCATATTAACGATGAAACTATCCGAGATCTGAACAAAATCAGGGATCATATCGAGGCGAACATTGTTGGACAGGACGGATTGAAACACGCGTTAATTGCTCAAAAACTCTTGATTCTGAATAACTATAATTAAATTTCGATATTATGTGAATTGTAAGAATTTATATTTCAATAATTATACTGAAGAAGACCGCGTGCGGTTGAAACGTTTATAGAATGATTGTAATTTGCGTTAGTTTTAATATAATGACTGTAGTTTTATAATTTATACATGTAATAAATGGTAGTTGACTGAACATCTCGAATATTCAGCTCGATAAGTTGGCCTTATATTTATCACTTTGTTTTATATATATATATATATATATATATATATATGTATTTAAGAGAAAAAGACAAAACTCTGTACAAAACGAAAATGTATTTAAATTTGCAGATATGTTAATCCACACCGCGATACTCGCATTACTTGCAAGCCCAGCTTTCGCTCTTATCGGATTCGATTGTGGCGGGCAACACCTAAATATTACGTCGGTGTCACTGCTCGATGTTGGAGAATGCAATCTCAACGTACGAAACCCAATTCAAGCAACGTGTATATTCAACTACTGCAACTCTCGGACTATAATCATGCTGAAGTTATCCAATGCAAGGTGGAAATCTCGAGGACTATTTTTCATTGTGGAATGCATTCTCACATATTTGCAGTTCACAACGAAAGAGCAGATTATATCCATGAAACCGGCTATACAGTATGTTTAAGGCTATTTCACGGTGGCACATTTTCTCTAGGATCTGGCAACGTTATCCAAGGTCTAAGGATTAATCAGACTACCTTCCATAGTCTCACCCTGGCTAGACAAATCAGCAACGACGGAACTTGTAAGGGCATTCAATATTCCGACCCTTAAAACAATGTTGTGGTCCAAGCCGTCGTCAAGGTCTCCTTGAAATCGTCACATGTACCTGTACAACTAAATTGCGGAAAAATAATACTCAAATCGGAAGCCGTCTACACCCTAAAAGAAGGATTCTGTCTCGACGTAGACGATGGATACACTTATTGGAAATCTGCACCAACATCCGCCTGTAATTTTCACAAATATGATGTCCTCTACGAAGGTCATGCAACCAAAATTACAGACGACGCTATAAATCACCCGTCTCCGACCATCTACAGCCTAACAACTCAAGAAATCACCTTCGCACTGACCAAAACAAAGGAACAGCCTCTCTGCGGATACACCTTACTGCAAACAGAACATCCTAAACTCTTTATCCTCGAGACCAGAAAGGGAGATATCTTCGCTGTAAGAGGAATTATTCCTGTAGATAACTTACAAGGAAAGGGTCGGAAGTGTCCCCCTCCGATTTTAATGAGCTTTGAATATGTTGTAGTCTAGATCAAAATAGAAGACACGTATTTTTTATAAGTGCTAATTTGGCCGTTAAGGGAGTGAAACACCTTCTTGAAAAAAATCGATTTTTTCATTTCTCAGCAAATACCGTCGAAGCGATAAGAGATATAAAGAAAAGTTTCAAATAAAAGTTTTATGGTTTTTAATGTACTTCAAAATCATGTAATCAGATTTGTCGAAAATGTCATATTTTTCGAAATCCCCCCCCCCTCCCTTTCAATGTTTGAAAATTTTAAATTTGTCTCATAACAAAACTTATAGCTCATTTAACGACAATTTCAATCATATATAATAAAGTTGTATTCCGAAGTCGCATTTTTCAGAAATAAATTAAAAATATCCCTATACACTACTATACGCCCGCTTTATCCGCCTCATGACGCTCGTTATTCACAGCGACAGTTATTTTTCTTCGCAAACTCACAGAGGCAACCATAAATTAGCAATAAATAATTTATGAGAATATTTTTATAAATTATAGAAATTATATTTATAAATATAATTTATAATTATATAATATATATAATTATAATATATATATTATGTGACAATAAATATACATATAATTTATATGGAAAAGAAATGTTTTAATGCATGAAAAATAAAACTAGTCGGACAAGGAAAATTATTGATCAGATGTCGAGGTTAATAGATCCAATTCTATGAATAAACTTGAATTTAAGAAAAATAGTCGTTTTTTATAATAAAGTAAACAAATTTTAAATGATAAAGAACGTTTTTATGCAAATATACATTTTTTGTTAAAAGTTTTATAAGTAAAACATATTTATATGTTACTATATTTAATTTATACATTTTTGCAGATAACATCCTTGCTCATATACAACATACATTACATACTTGAAAGAAATAGAGTATTTTACTAATCAAAATATTCTGTTTTATAATATTTAATTTCTTAAAGTATAAAGTAAATGTAATACACATTGTCTTACATTATTAAGTCATTATATATATGTATGGTATATGGAAATATTACATAAAATACCGTACATAATTATTGCATACAAGAATAAAAAATATTCATAGTTGATATCGGTTACAAAGATGATGATCATGAAAGAAATGATTTATACAAAGGGATTTTTTACACCATGCGCAAAGAAATTACAGCAATTTCACCGCAAATATCACATGTTGGTTTTAAATTAGTTTTGAAACAAAATCTACTGGTGTATCAAATTCTTCTGGTTTCTTTTCTAAATAACCACTTTTATACCATGCATATTTGAATAAATTTTAAACCTGGTGATGAAAATTGATTATGTGTTAATGATGTTGTTCGCGAACGCGCTGCGTAGAAAGGGTTCGCGCGGCACAAAGGATGAGTCATTTTTTTATCAAAAGAATTTAATTCTCTAACACACTTAATAACAAATACACTTTAACAAACTTCATACAAATGTTAATTATTTTACATTGAAATCGTAATCAAAATCAAATTGTGCGGAATAATAAGCGGCGGTCGTCAACGAATTTTAGCGGTTTATCAAGTATGCGGTTTGCGTTATGCGGTTCACGGCGGAAAAGCGATAAGGATGCTAAGCGGGTGTGAGCTCTTCTTTTATAATTTTTAGGATGGAGCCCACCTTCGCTTGAAGCGCCAATAGTTTGCGGATTTCAAACGTTGCGCGAGGTGACCTGAGCGCATTACGCGTAATTGGTCGCTGTCAAAATTAACGGGACGAAAGTATAAAGAAAGCATGCGCGAGCGGGCGATCGCGATAATTATTGGTTGAAAAGGCGCCCGTGATAAGCCGCGCATGCTCACTGAAAAATAATTATTCGGCGGAACGGTTGTGGTACCGTTAATTGTTGATGTTTTGAGCGGTTTTTTCCGAAACAGATTGATTTATGTCGCTGTTGGTTTTCTCCTCGAAAAACATACAAAAACGATTTGCTGAAAATATCGATTGGTCTAGAATCTTCTAAAATATTCTGTCCGAATATAATATTCTATTATGCGGATAATATTTCTTATGCGTGTTAATGATTGTAATTTTAAATATTGTTTCTTGAATGAAGCTTGACGTCAAGATCTAAAAGCATGATGGTATCTGAAAAATGTCTAACGAAATTTTTCCATAAACGAAAACCGAATACATCTAAAGGTTGTATTTTTCCCGTTGCTCCAGCTGGTATAGTTAACAAATTAATATTGTCTATAAAATCTGGTTTGTTTCTTTGAATTATATCAGGACAATGACCAGTCCAAGAATCTAATAATAACACTGATTTTGGTCCAACATTTGGAAAAAACACTTCTTTTATCCAGATCTCAAAATGATGCGATGTTAATTTTCCAGATTTTGATGCCATGACAAAGATATTATTATCTTTAAACATTGTTTCTTTTACTATTGGACCAAATGTTCCAGTAGGTTCTTTTAAAACAATAAACAGAGGCGATAATAATCTACCATCAGCTGAAACAATAGGTTGTATAGTATAACTATGTGTAGTTGCTGATATGGATTGTACTATGCGCTCTACTTTTTTAATACCAATAGGTGATAGTGAACGACCGGAATGAAATTCTAATTGAAATCCACTTTGGTCCGAATTATATACATTTTCAATTCCATATTGTATAATAAAAGATTTAACATTTTCGATAAATGACTTGCTTCGTGCTTCTAAATCTTTGTCTGACGCTAAATGTTTTTTGTTATAAATTTTGTAATTTTTCTAGATACGATATTATGTGCAAGCTTAAACCTTTTTACCCATGATAATGATGCTGTAAACCCAAGTAGATTTACTTCCTTCTGTGCGCGAATAGCCCATCGAGCAATATCAATGTCATGAATAATTATTCCCTTTTCAATACCTTCATGGAATTTATTTAACGTATATGTTGAAATTTCTTTCAGTTTATCAAATCTGCTGCCACCTTGATTTACTTGCTGCTCCCATCTTCTTAATTGACGTAATGACGTGACTTTCCGAAATCTATTTCTTATAGTTGCAAGAGTTCTTGACTTTTTTGTTCCACTTCTCCAAAACTCTACTGCATTTCTTTTATATTCTATTGGTACAGAATCCGCAACACATTCAATTTCTTTTACAAAATATGTGTCACCTTCTCTTTCTTCATCAATTACAGGTTCTACTTCAGGTATATCAAATTCGTTTTGAAAATCTAATGATGATTCTTCATAAACTTCAAACGCTTCTTCATACATTGATCGAAGTGTATTTTCCATCATGTCTTTTGTTTCATTTTCATCTGTTGTAACAGGACTTTCTGGGAATTCCCCAGTCATATACAGTGCAGTGTATAGCAGTACTGCTACATTTCTTGGATTAAACATTATCTAAAAAAATTATTAACATTATGTATATTTGTTTTATAAATATTAGCAAAAAAATACTTATTAGCAACAAAAATATTTTATTATTTAATGCGTATTAATAATTTGTTATGTTTTCCGAGTTTCATGAAAAATAGAACACTGTTTTATCACATAATTTATAATAACTTAAATAAAGTAATAAAATATTAATTATAATTTAAATACATTAAAACAAAACAGATAAACCGCAATTTTGAATAAAGTGTAAGTAAAAGCAAAAAACTATAAAAGTTTTAAAAATCGAAAAAGTACATACATACTGTATTGTTGTGTGCGTGGGGCACAATTGTTTTTTCAGGATAACGGCTAGTCTTGTTAATTAACTCGAGCACTTGTTAATTATTTGATAACTGATTTGTGACTGTCCGCCGCTTCTAGGCGGTGATTTTTAACGCCTCCGGTTCTGAACGATTATCGGAGGGGAATCGCGCGGTGGCATGACGCGGTGGAATAAAATCATCAGTTATTTCTAAAGTGGCGTGATCAAAATGCAAGCAAAGAAGTCCAAAGACTTCCTTCCTCGCATTTTATTGCAATTCAGCGCTATTTCGAGAGTGATTTCTTTCTCTATTTGATGACTTGGCCGTGTGATACTGGCTGTATCAGCACTTCGGGCAACTGACCTTCTTATCCCGACGCATTTTTTCGCTCGCTTTATAAGTTATAATCCTTTTAATTATTTTATTATATATATAAATATATTTACTATCGCGCTCGCGTATATTCGATAGACGCTTTAATAGTAATATGTGTTCCACTGCACGCAGTTGTTAATAAAATAATATATTGCACCAACTCATTTCGCGAATGCGACATCTGTTTATTCATAGAATTGAATCTATTAACTTCGGCATCTGATCAATAATTTTCCTTGTCCGACTAGTTTTATTTTTCATGCATTAAAAACATTTCTTTTCCATATAAATTATATGTATATTTATTGTCACATAATATATATATTATAATTATATATATTATATAATTATAAATTATATTTATAAATATAATTTCTATAATTTATAAAAATATATTCTCATAAATTATTTATTGCTAATTTATGGTTGCCTCTGTGAGTTTGCGAAGAAAAATAACTGTCGCTGTGAATAACGAGCGTCATGAGGCGGATAAAGCGGGCGTATAGTAGTGTATAGGGATATTTTTAATTTATTTCTGAAAAATGCGACTTCGGAATACAACTTTATTATATATGATTGAAATTGTCGTTAAATGAGCTATAAGTTTTGTTATGAGACAAATTAAAAAATTTTCAAACATTGAAAGGGAGGGGGGGGATTTCGAAAAATATGACATTTTCGACAAATCTGATTACATGATTTTGAAGTACATTAAAAACCATAAACTTTTATTTGAAACTTTTCTTTATATCTCTTATCGCTTCGACGGTATTTGCTGAGAAATGAAAAAATCGATTTTTTTCAAGAAGGTGTTTCACCCCCTTAACGGCCAAATTAGCACTTATAAAAAAATACGTGTCTTCTATTTTGATCTAGACTACAACATATTCAAAGCTCATTAAAATCGAAGGGGGACACTTCCGACCCTTTCCTTGTTAGATATCTTTGCATATATGAACTCCAAATTCATATACGTAGAAAAACACATCCGACAACAAATGACGTCATTATATCACAACGTAATGCAACAAAAATGTGAGTTAGAAAGACAGGTTATGACTAACGCATTGTCTTTCGCAACCCTGCAACCTGACGAATTCGCATACCGCCTAATGAAAGGACCAGGGTACATGGCAGTCACCACCGGAGAAGTCACTCACGTAATCAAATGTATACCCGTAGACGTCACGGTGAGGAAAACAACGGAATGTTACACGGAATTACCCATCACTGTTCGCAACTCCTCCTTGTTCCTCACGCCCAAATTGCGAATAGTTACCAAATTCGGCAATCAAAGAGAGTGCAGCTACGAATTACCAACCATGTACCGTATCGAAGACACCTGGGTTCAATTTGCACCTGAACTGCAAGTAAGGCAAACTCCTCCGCAACATCTCAAACCTATGACAGTACTCTCTTGGGACTACCTGACACCTGGACCTCTTGCTATCAGCGGAATATATTCTCAAAAAGATATAGAAAAATTAAGAGACCATATTATGTTTCCCGCAGAAAGACCGGCTCTTCTTAATACAGTAGCCAGAGGAATTTCAGGCCACCCTATTGACAGCGACGTAGTCTCCATGTATAATTTATTGGACGAAGTTTCTCTCAACAAAATAGCAGAAAGCGTAGCTTCCCGAGTATGGAAAGGATTTATCTCTTTCGGATCCGCTACTGCCGGAATATTTGGCATACTAGTAGTCATTCGAGTCATAAAAATTTTTATTGACACCGCCATCCACGGATACGCTCTTCACTCCGCTTATGGATGGAGCATGCATTTGCTCGGAGCTATGTGGAGCTCCCTTACCAACCTACTGCTCCACCTTGCACGAGGACCTGTTGATAAGAATGACAAGAACAACGGAATAGAAGATAATGCATCGTCAGCATCCGCCCCTGCAGATTCTTCAGCCTCGCCAGACAAAAAAACAGCAACCAACGGGTTTTCAAATGCCTCATCCAATATCAAAGCTGAAACGCCGAAAGACACCCCAAATTATTATCAGCGTATAAGAGATTGTTTTAACGATCTAGAACAAATTACTACGAAAACATCGTAATTTGTTCTCAAATAAGGGGGAAGGTGTGACGTCCTGTCTATTTTAAAATTTTTATTTTTTAATATAACTATTGCGCGTTATTCATATTCTCGTAGAAATAAGATTATTAACAATCATTATACTTTACTAATCGCTCTAATCTGACTATTTTAGTATTAATAGATAAAATCGCCAGATCTGGGGTCCTCTACCTAGGAACCAAACATCTCTATCTAACCACGCGACCAATCAGGCACCATCTAGGCACCCCAGAGACGGCATGTAACTAGCGGAACTAACCAGATATTCCTTTACAGGAATACTTATCAAACACTTATTACAATAACGCCAAACTATAAATAATAAGCAAGATAAATATTAATATAATCAAGCACAAGATATAAGGACTAAAATGTTAACTCACTTCCTCCTAAAGTAAATTACAATACAACGCGATGTATTATTAATTCCGAAACAACCTTTTTAGTCAGATTTACAGAATCCTAATCACATCAAATTTATATGATAACTAAAAGAGAAACACTAATTCTTTCAGAATTCATACTGAAACGAAACACGATTCTGTAAGTGCGACTAAGAATTATCCGAGTACACATTTGAATATGTAACCCTTTAAATATTGTATTAATGAATTATGGATCCATAAATAACTTTTGATTTATTTTATTAACTATAAATACCAAATACTATTGATGAAGTATGCCATAATTAACTATAAATATCATATATTATAATTGAAGGATGCCATAATTGACTAATCAATATGCGTAAAAGGATCAAACAAGGAATAATAAATGTACTGCTAGACATAAGTATTCGTAGAGATCGACTTGACGACACGATGGCTTGTAACCTGACCTCGTATGACTCCCTGCCGCATTCTTGAGCTTTAGGAAAGAAACCAACGCCCTACGCCAAACCAAAGATTTAGGAAGCAAAATATTATCTTTATCATTATAAGCTACAACTCAAACTATTAAAAGCTAGCCCTTGAATCCTTTACAGAATAACGTTGCACGTTCTTTTATTTTAACAATAAAAACCTCTCAATTATTAATATAATAAATATTCAAGGAATTACAATCTCCACATTTTGTAATGGCTTCTAGGGCACGCAATTTAACCCTTTAGTATAAATTATTAATGATAAATATTAACGATTTATAAATAAGCAATTCAGAAATTATTGTAAGAATTCCCATTCGTCTATTAAGAATCGTAATTATACTGCGCCAACGAACCATCTTAGCTGATGGACCACCCTTCGCCCCCTTTTCGATGACGCAAACCGAATTCCTACGGAACCATAAACATGTAAAAATCTAAGCACGCCTGGTCCTCCAAAGGGTATATAAATCGCGGATTTGGCGTCCTGCAGGCACTTCACTTCTTGTCAACTTCTAGAATAGGTCATTTCGTATTACTATTTTCCAAATTCTAAATTCTACACTTAACCGATTACGGTTAATCTAGTTTTCGTGTCACTTAGTACTTAGATTTTTCTGCGAATTCTTATGTTAGTTATCATTCTAGTTAACTCATCTGATAGTTTAAATTCGTAAACTCTAAATTGTACGATTATAAGTCACAGACTTAGAAATTGTTCATAAATAAAGAAATAAAGAATTAAAATTAATATAAAATCAGTGCACGTCTGTTCTTCCAACTCCACCCTGAGACCGAGGTCCCCAGAAGAACTACAGCCCAGGCATAGTCACCAGGAACAACAGAGCAGATCTTCATCTCCGTGCGAAAGCAAGTAAGAACTAATCCTTTTTAATCCTTGATCTAATTTATAATCTCCTAACAACTAATTAACTAATATTATAAGGATGAACATATCCTTGTAAATGGACAGCCGGAAACGCAACCTACGTAAAAAGAAGCGTACACGCCCTTCAATAATTAGGAAATACAGATCAATCGCGACTACTTTCTCAAGTTCTCAAGAGAGATTATCCGGAGATAAACAATTACCTGAGTCTCAAGAGGTGATCTCTCCTGATTTACCCCAAGGTTCCGAATCAATTGACAATTCTCAATATAAAATAAAACCTTTATCACCAATCCCCTTGAGGAGATTGATAATATAATCAACGAATTAATAGAATCGTCTAAGAATTCCTATCAAGATTTTCCACCTTTCAAGGACTATAATTTTCCTACTGTCTCTTTACCAGAATTAATAAGCTCAGGACCGATAGAACCTCCCCTTGAAATCGACGACTATTCGAAGTATCTAAATCTTTAATAATCTCAACTCGCGATTATTTACCGATTATTCTAAATGTTCAAATCCTTGATAACAGACTATTATTTTATTTTATTAATAACTTACTTTAATTTCATATCTTATATCCTAACTAGGAAATACAATTTTGAATTAATATTAATTTTCCTGGACGATATTATATATTCCTACGAAACATTCCCTATTCCTAAAATTCCCCAGATCCGAAAAGTCAGTTCCAGCTCTCGGTGCACCCAGGGTATAGTCGGTGCATGCAGATTGCCCTAAATAAATAGAGAGCTAACCCTTTCTTTCTAGACCTAGAGTAATAGAGGAGGAAAGATCACTCGGACGTGACATAATATAATTTTTCGAGTTCCATTATCATAATTTGCGCC